GGACCTGATGCCAGGGGCTTAAGTGGAGAGTAAATGTTTTGAGAATGATGAGGGCAATGAATGTACAAATGTGCTTTACACAATTGATGTATATATGGATTGTGATAAGAGTTGTATGAGCCCCTAATAAAACGATTAAAATAAATAAATTAAAAAAAGAAAAACCCTACTCAAGAAAGAAAAATGAAGAGTGGAGGCACTGGCATAGAGATGGAAAAATTGTTTCATTCCCCAGAAATATTCTCTTATATATGTGTACGATTTAACAGGTGATAGTGCACTGAATCTGTGTTGCTGTCAAGAGCGATAGACCTAAACGACTTAAAGCACTTGCTGTTTGGGTGACTTTTGACTCACAGCGACTCCATGTGACCAAGGAGAACTGTCCTCTAGAGTTTTTCAGGCTCTGATCGTTATGGAAGCTGGTTGCCAGGTCTTTCTTCCACCAACCATTAGGTTACCAGCTGAGTCCTTAACCAGTGGGCCACCGCGGCACATGGCAAATCCAGAATAAGTGTTAGCTGCTATTGGCTGTACTACGATTCCTGAGTCCCAGCGTGCTTGCTGTTTTTGAATGATTCTAAATTCCTTCTTATAGCTCACTGGTTAGAACTCCATGTTGGGACCAGACCTGACTTCAGGTAAGGTGGAGGAATCTTTGGGTTGAGTGGCTCCGTGCCCCAGTTAAAAAGTGGGGTTCTGTTAGAGGGGAAAGGAACAATGCATCTTGTGGGGCTCTGTCTCTGAGTTAAAAGCTAATGTCTGAACTGTCTTTTGACAAAATTACAGTTGCTCAGGCAGGCAAGACCTGGAAGGGTCTATCGATGGGCATGTCAAATGAATTCACTGTGGTTGGAAGCGTAGGACTGGGTTGAGAAGTTGCACATGTGTTGGGATCTCAGGAAAGCAAAGTTGAGGAGTGGGAGAGATAGAAACTTTAAAGTCACCCTAAAAATGTAAAATAGCAGAAGCCGTGTGTTCCATGCAAGGAGGCTTACAGTCCTGGTCAAGGGCAAAGGATCTGTTCTGGAGGATTTAAAGTGAGATGTGGCCCAATGAGATATTTTGAGAAACTTCATTCAGAAAGCAACTGGGGAAATAGAGGGAAACGATTTCTCATAGGCCCATGGTAACTGTCCAGGGAAGAGATTATCGTGTAAAAGACACACATGTTGCATATCAGGAATCTTTTTGACTGGCACACAAGACTATGGCAAATTACAGGTGCACCATCTTTAGTGAGTCATAACCTTAGATTTTCTGTTGTAAAAAGAATTCTTTAAATATTTATTAAAAA